ATTTGCAATTCCGAAGTGTCTCATTAGCATCCCTTTTCCGGAAAGGGGTGCCAATGTAGACACAGCCGATGGGTTTATGAAGGGGATGGTTTGATGAGATAACATGATCTTGGTAACTAATTGACCATTCATTATCAGTGGGAAATAGGTCATTGGAGGGATAATAGGAGTTACTATAGAGAACTTTCTGGGTGTCTGGCTGGTGAGTCTTGCCCACATGCTCAGGGTTTAGCTGATCGCCATATTTGGGGTCGGGAAGGAATTTTCCTCCAGGGTAGATTGGCAGAGGTCTTGGAGGTTTTTCGCCTTCCTCTGTAGCATGGGGCACAGATCACAGCTGGAGGATTCTCTGCATCTTGGGGCCTTCAAAGTATTTGAAGGCTTCAATATCTGAGATATAGGTGAGAGGATTATTCTAGGAGGGGTGGGTGAGATTCTGTGGCCTGCACTGTGTAGGGGGTCAGACTAGATGATCATAATGGTCCCTTCTGACCTTAAAGTCTATGAGTCTATGAGATTATTAAGGGGCAAACTGCACTTGCTTACAACTTGGAATTGCTAGGGTGTTGCATTCACAGATTAGATATCACTTTAGCCTGGATTCAGTACTTCTCCCAGTGCAGTCTTTCCCCCTCCCTCCCCCCCAGGTATTTCCAAGAGTTGGCTTGGATAGGGAATCTGTGAAGAACAAAGTTGATGTCAGTCCCTGGCCTTATATTTTTTGCATGTGTTGGGAATGCTTAGTCTCAAAGCTTGGTTCCCACATCAGTCAATGGTGAACCACTGCTACCCCAAGATTAAGTCCAGCACCATGTTACCTGGTCACATGTCCCTGTAAGTGACACAGCAGCCATTATTCAAAGGCTGTTTTGTAGTAGTATTACCATTTAAACGGAACATGGATAAGCATGAGTTTATTGGTTACTGTAATGGTAACACATGGACTCCCAGCCCTGCTCCTGCGGAGCCAGCAGCCACCTTGTGTTGCTGCTTCTGTATTGGAGGTAGTAGTGGGATAGCATCCGGCTCCTAGGTAGCTGGCTGCTGCCCTGCGTTGCAGGCTCTGAAGTCTAAATCTTATACTGGAGAGCTTGTAGTGTAGCCGGCGCCCTGGGTATGGGGCCGAGAGCCAGTTCTTGGCCTGCCTAGCTGCTGGCTTCACTCTTGGGGGCAGAGAAGGGTGTTTTAAATTTATATAGCAACTTGTCTTGATCATAACATTGTTATATATTTTCACCATTGGTTGCCAGCATACTGTTGAGTACTGTATGCTATTTAGCTGCTGTCACAGTATGAACAAAGGAATATACTTTTTTGTTTTGTCTGGCACAGCAAAAATAAGTTGACCTTTTAGTGGCCAATAAGTTTTCTTTTCCCCTTTATACTGCAGAGCTCACAGCATGTAACTCTATTTTGATTTTTAGCAGTTAAAGTTATTTTTTTACCCACAATTTTACATCCCTACCCACAACTATTATCCCTATCGACCATCAAAATGTAATCTTACAAGAAAACACCAGAATTATTTATCATTTAAGAGTTTTAACTTGATTTACAACACTTGTTATTGTCCTTTTACTCACCATGTACTAAACTATTTGCAGGTGCAACTAAGGTATCCCACAAACATATATTTCTGTAAAAGAAAAAGGTATGTTGACACTTTAATTTAACTAACTTGACAACTGACATGGGTTGAAGAGAAAAGGTATGCACTTCATATATTTGAAATAGTTTAGCCAGTTTCTGAACATTTCACACAATACTGTTTCATGCCCCGGCTTCCTGGAATCAGCCCCTGATCAGTTTCAGCAGCGGCTGACTTGAGTACACCTGGGTTGGTCCAGTAGCGCCGAGGAGTGGCGCTGCGGGACCAACCCGGCAGCACTCCAACTGCTCTGCTGAATCAGGGACGCTTGGGGCAGAGCCGGACTATCGGAAGGGGGGGCTATGAGGGGTTTGGAGTGGCATCCCCTCCCACCCCAGACCCCTTATAGCTCCCCCTTCCGATAGTCCGGCAAACCTGATAATCCTGCACCCCCTGGGTCCTAAAGGTGCCGGATTATTGGAAGTTTACTGTAACCGCTTTTTAACATTCCTAGTTTGTAGTGTTCTCAGGAAGGCTCCCCAGCTTCAGAAAGATAAGCTTCTTCTAAGCCTTGTTGTTCTCTCTAATGGCTCATTGCCTTGAATGGGCCCTTCCCAGCTGACTAGACCGAGTGCCTTGTTTAGTGGGCATTCATTTGTAATACATAGTCAATATTCCTAACTTCATATCAAAATGATACATGCATATAAATAGGATAATCCTGTTCAGAAAATCATAATCTTTTCAATATCTTGCATAAAACATATTGATTACATAATCCTATCATAATAATATCAATGTGAAGAATATAGGGTGTAGCCTCACACTCTCCAGCCCCATAGTGTGTCTGTCTTTGCTTGTCAGGTTAGTCTTTCCCCGTTACTGGCAATTCATGCTTATAGCCATGACCCCTTGCTCTTGGTGCCTGAGGGAATTGGAGAGCTGCCCAAGTACAGTGTGTGTCCAGTGCAACCTCTGCCACCCCTTAACTAAGCTCCCCAGGTGGATCCTGCATCCCCAGATTGCACAGAAGCCCTCTGTTGAGCACTGCTTCCCACTGAGTGAGAGCTACGGCCTCTCCAGACCCTTTCCCCCACACCTCAGTTGCCAGGAGAGGAAAAGAGTTTTCACGTGCAGCAAGCACATCTAGTTCCATCCTAACTGTTGTGGATGGGATCTGCTTATACCAGATTCTCCTTGTCCTGCTGACTGGGTCCTGCCTTTTTCAGTGACCGTGTGAACCTGGAGAAGTCCAGGGAAGAGCTACAGCAACAGCTGAAGGCATCCGAGGAGGAGGCTTGGCGTTTGCGCCGAAGCAATACTGAGCTACAACTGAAGGAAGATTTGGCTCAAGGGGAGAAGGAAGAGCAGCAGCTGGAGATGGAGAGGATCCTTCGGGAGAGGGAGCACCTGTGAGCTGTGATCCCTCCACAGGGCAAGGGGGGTTACTGTGGGAGCATGCTGGCAATAGTGGCTGAGTGCTGGACATGCTAGAGATGGGTGGCTGCACAGGCATGGACGTGGAAGTTAGCAGCTGAAGGGAAGCACCAGGGAAGGGAACATAGAGTTGAGTTGGGATGGCTACTACAATTGGTGGCTTTTATTTCCATAATAATAGATTATTGCTAATCTTCCTTGTAGCTTCCCTTCTTTTCACAGTTGGTCTTTGGAGGGCAGGATTTTTATTCGATCATCCCTGCTGGCCTGACACTTCTCAGTTTTTGCTTACATGAAAATGGTTCTTCCCTCCAGAGATTACTCCTCATTTGTTCTCTCTTTTCCCTGGGCTCACCCATTTTAGTGAGCCTGTACTGGGTAAAAATGCACTAAAAGCAGTGGTTGCTGCAGCTCTGGGCTTTTGAGACAACTTGTGAGAACCTGCTGAAACCTGTTCTCTTCTTTCACCCAGTGTAAATCAAGAGTAACTGCCCAAAAGACAGTGGTGTTACACCCATGAAATACTAGTGCAAGCAATGGGAGAATCAGTTCTTTTGTCTTGCTGTCCTTGGCTTTGTACAAATAGTGACGCTACCAGTAGTTAGTGAGTCCTGCATGGACGAGGAGTGTGACTCAGTACAAAGGAATGGACTGAAAAAACCCTTTTGTTCTGGATTTTAATGCTACACTAGAAGATCACTGGAACAGGCACTATAAGATATCCAAATCAGTAGACCTAGCTTATATCTGGCTCAGCTGTAGCAGTCCAAACGGCAGAGTGACACATGTAGTGTAACTGCAAGGGGCTCAGCCACTTCTCCCTGTTCAATACCATAATTCATGATTTTACTTTGCAGAGATCACTCTGTGCAAGGGTCCCATGCATCATATGGGGTAGGTGAACAGGAAGTCACTTTGTATATAAACTATGCATTTACAGGAAACTAGTATGTACCTGAGTATTAGTATTTTTGAGATCCCTGTAACCCCACTGCAACTTCACAGAATCATAGAAGGTTAGGGTTGGAAGAGACCTCAGGTGGTAATCAAGTCCAACCCTCTGCTCAAAGAAGGACCAACTCCAACTAAATCATCCCAGCCAGCGTTTTGTCAAGCCTGACCTTAAAAACCTCTAAGAATGGAGATCCTATCACCTTCTAAAGAAACAAGGCTTCACCACCCTCTTAGTGAAATAGTTTTTCTTCTTTGAGTGGTGTCCCCTTGGTCACTCCATTGTAGGTGACGGGTCATTCTTGGAGCCACAGATTGGAGCTTTTCAGTGCAGCTATCAGCCGAGCTGCGCGTGGGCCTCACGTGTGCATGCTGCTCCCCCTTCAGTTCTTTGCTTACTGCCCTCAGTCATGGATGGAGCTCCTCTCTTGCCTCTGGTGTTTTTTCTCAGATTATTTTTCTTCAAATTTAGTAGTTTTATTAGGTCTAGTATTGTTTTCTAACTATATACGTTTATTGCTCTGTTTAAAAAAAAGGGGGGGGGCTTGCCAGGGTTTAAGAAATGTGAGGCACAAGGGTATCCCATGCATATGCTGCTTGGGCAAGGCTCATTTACACAAAAATGTGAGCATAGTCTCAGTCTTACCGCGAGAGCCAGAAAGGACAGAGAGCTTCAGCCCTGCATGATTCTATTTGAAAAGGCTATGCAGCCCTCAGAGGAGCCGAACCATCCCGACCTCCCAGGGAGGCTAATGAGAAAAGGACTGCTTCTCCACTGCAAAAGTGCCCAAAGAAGAGAACCTTCCCTGCAAGGTCCCTCTTGTCTGTCCCGTCTCTGAGGGTTGCAAGGGAGATGAACGCGGCATCTGTGGGTACAGTGGCACCGAGACTTCCCTCCAGCACCGCCTCCATTGCTGCATGATTCGCTCATCAGCACCAGAGAGACCTCAAAGGCAATCCCCAGCACCCGCACTAGCATGTGACCTGGTGCTGACTAAGAGTTCGGCACAGACGCCTAAGCTCACACATTGCAAACCACTAGTGCTGGCTCTCAGAGAGCCAACACCTGACACAATGCTCCCCCTATCCAGAGTCTCAGCATCCGACGAGGACGTGTTGCATGACTGCCAATCACCACTGCCTGAACTTGCTTACATCCCACTGGCACTGTGTAGGGACAGAGAGTGACAGTCCTCCCTCCCTCCATATGACTCACCAAGATTATTGAGCTCTGTCGGGCTGTCAGAGCGCATGGGATTTAGAGAAGATTATAGGAGGAGTGTTTTCTCTCCACAACACTCCTCTCTGACTGCATCTAGGCATTACTACTATCACTGTGATAAACATCACTCCACATGTTACTCGCACTGAACATCCTTGCCCCACCACACATTCCCTACCGTGATCGATTCTGAGAAGGAAGATGAGCAGACTGACGTACAAGTCCCTGCGTGTTCACCTAATGACAACTCATGTTTGCTACCCGATGAAGCAGTTATTCTTCGTCGAGTAGTGTCTCCGAGGGTACTTCACTCGAGGTGCGGGGTTCATCCCGGCGCCGCAAACGGAGAATCTTTCTTAGCAGTAGCCCTGCTGGCCCGCACATGCGCACCTTCTGTCTCGCGCCGTTCCAGCTGAGCGCGGGCCGGCTTGTCAGTTTCCTTCAACTGTCTGTGGCCGCAGACGGACTTTACATACGCTCCCCCTCCTGTTAGGAGAAAGGGAGATTAGTGTTAGATAGTTACTTGTTCTTCTTAGTTTGTGTTAGAGTAATTGTGCTTAGTAGTATAGTTCTGTTTGTTAAAAAACAAAACAAAACAAAAAAACCTTTTTTCCATGAATTGTTCACCAAATCTAAATGAACAATTATGTTTGGATCACCCGGTTTTAAAAGGTGCACCCAGTGCCAGGATGCCATGCCAGCATCAGACAGGCACTTGCGGTGCATTAAATGTCTCGGGGACGGACATGTCCCTCTCAAGTGCGTTCATTGCACGAAATTGACTGCGTGCGCCAGGCACGACCGGGAGCTGAGGCTGAGGGTTCTGTTGTTCAATAAAGCCCTCCAGACCTCCGACATACCTGAGCCACTCTCTGCTGCTTCGGGGACGCATGAGACTCTTCCTACAGAGACTCCCCACAGAGCCGTTAAACCCTTTGTGAGGGTTTAGTGTGGGTGACAGACTGGGAACCTCTGGCGTTCTGCCGAGGCATTCCACGGAGAAAATGGGCAAGAGCCGTAGCTCTTCTGCCCCTACCCTAGCCCGCACTAAGGATCTGATACGGGCTTCTGCAAAGGGGTCCAGGGCTGAGTCGGCACCGACAACGGCTCTAACGGTTGGTTCGAAGCCAGCAATGGCTGCCCCGGCACCGGGTTTCTCAGCGCATACGTGAACGAGCGCAGCTGTGCCAGCACCCACAGCAGCGGTGCCAGCGGCTTTATTTCTGCTCCTTTCTGTGTCGGACGCCCCGGCACTGGTCTCGGTACCGCAGGAGGGCACCGTCAACTTGCAGCCCTCGGTACTGGCATTACCTCCCTCAGCCCCACAATCCGCTGAGCCAGTGGCACTGGCTCTTCATTCAAACTGTGGCCAGGCTATGCAGGTTGCTTCACTGCCTGCTAGCCCATTGCAGACGGCAACGTCCTCTCCTCTGAATTGCTCGGTGCCATACAACGCAAGTCGGGAGGGGTTCGGACACCATCTCTTACCCCAGACCGCACTGTGTTTTCTCCTCCACCTTTGTCACCCGCTTCGTTCTATGCAGACAGCCATGACCGTGCTCATCGCCTGACCAGGGACCATCATTACAGATCGCCTCGTCATTCACCACAGTGTTATCGAGCACATTATTCTAGATCTCCCTCCCGCTACTCCATGAGGTCTGTTTCACCACGGTCTTCAAGACCTTCACGATATTCACGTCAGTATGGAACACCAAGGCACTATTCTCCGAGATATTCACCGGGGTCATACCGTCATAGTAGGTACTATGACCATTACTGTGATGATCGTTATTACTCTCTCCGTCGAAGGTACCAGCGCTCATGGTCTCCGCGCTCCAGTGGACCAGTGTCTCCACGTCTTGTACCATTGCAACCCTACCCTCTGGCAGCATCACCAACCCCTGTAGAGGACATGGCTTCAATCCAGACCCATGAGGGACAGCAGGACAACCACACTCCAACTTGGGAACTTCAGAGTCCTGATTCTCCTGCTAACCACTCATCTTCATCACCAGATGACACAGTTTTCCCCGGGGATCTATCTCCAACAGAAGACCTTAATCAGTGTCAAGAACTTTTTAAGAAGGTTGCTCAGTCTCAGAGTATTCAGACTATGGATGTTCAACAAAAACGTCATCTGTTACTTAAGAACATGCAACAGTCGCAAAAATCGAAGTTGGCACTCCCCTTTGACGACACCATTTTGGAAATTGCCGATGACATCTGGCAGACTCCAGCTACTTCCTTGCCGACCAACAAGCGATCTGACAAGAAATACTTTATAAACCAGAAGGGCATGGAGTTCTTGTTTACTCACCCTCTGCTTAATTCCCTTGTCGTGGACGCCGCACAACAACGGTCCAAGACAGCACAAACTAAAAATATCATAAATGACAAGGAGGCCAAACGCCTAGACATTTTGGGCAGAAAGGTGTATTCCTCTGCCACTTCAGTTTTGAGAATGTGCAATTACATGGCACCCCAGCGAATCAGGATTTCGATAATTACTCAAAATTAATTCCTCTTTTAGAACATCTGCCGGACTCAAAATGTCAAATTCTGAAGGCGGTAATACAGGAGGGCTATACAACAGCCCGAACAGCATTGCAGATCGCTCTAGACACTGCAGATGCAGCAGCTCGAGCCACAGCGACTGCTGTAGTCATGCGTCGTGCGTCCTGGTTGCATCAAGCTGCTGCCCAAAAGATTTGCTAAATAAGGTAGAGGACTTTCCTTTTGATCATCAGTCGCTCTTTGCTCAATCCACGGATCAGGTGTTCTACTCAGGCAAAGACTCCCGTACGACGTTGAACGCTGGGGATGTATACACCTCCGTATACGCGTAAGAGATTTATGCCCTATAACAAGCAAAGACCTTTCTCTTATGCGTCATTCCGTGCCAAACCATACGAGCAGCAAAAGCCAAGACAACGCCAGCAGAAATGGAGACAACAATCTAACAAGATGCTTGGCCACCAGCAGGGACGGCAGCAAGTTTGACGTGTCGGTCAAGGGACTGCGCATTACCCCTTTGACACAGGCTCCACACAATCCGCAAGCTTTATTCCATCATCGGTTGAAACCTTATCAACACCGTTGGTCTTTGATTTCCACTAGCCGTTGGGTCAACGACATAGTCGCTGCAGGATATGCCATTCCTTTCATCTCAATCCCCACCCCTTCCCCACCCTCCCCATCCCTTTTCAGGGACCCCTTTCACGAGACTCTTCTACAGCAAGAGGTTTCTCATCTACTGACAATAGAAGCAGTGGAGAGGGTACCTGCTCAGTTCCAGGAGAGAGGGTTTTACTCTCGGTACTTCCTCACCCAGAAGAAGTCAGGGGGTTGGAGACCTATCCTGGACCTGCGTCGACTCAACCGTCACTTGCGGAAACAGAAATTCAAGATGGTTATGTTGACCTCTATCATCCCTGCTCTCGACAAAGGGGATTGGTTTGCGTCCCTCGACTTGAAGGACACTTACTTCCATATAACGATCCATCCGGCTCACAGGCACTTCCTTCGTTTTGTAGTGGGCACAGAACATTACCAGTATCGCGTGTTACCCTTCGGCCTCTCAGCAGCTCTGCGGGTGTTCTCCAGGACCCTAGCAGTGGTGGCTGCTTTCCTTCAACATCTCTATCACGATTTTCCCGTATCTCGATGACTGTCTGTTAAAGGCCCCTACCTTCGATGAAGCTGCCCGAGCAGTTGCCACTACCACAACGGTATTCAACGCTTTGGGTCTCATAATCAACTTCGACAAGTCGTCCCTGATGCCGAGTCATGACCTGGAATTTATCGGTGCGAGGCTCGATGCACAGAGCGCAAGGTTATACTTACCCACAGCAAGATTCGAGTTGATTCAGGATTTGCTTCAAACTGTGTCAATTGCTACCAGATCCCGCATACTTACCTACCTGCAGCTGTTCGGGCATATGGCCGCCACCACATATGTGGTGTCCCATGCAAGACTCCACTGCTTTTCACTGCCTGTTAGGACACATGGATGCCACCACATATGTGGTGCCTCAAGCAAGGCTTCATCTTTGGAGCATTCAGCATTGGCTATTCACGTTATATACGCCAAGTGCCCATGGCACACACAGGATGGTCTCCATTCCAAAAGACGTTAGGGGCTTACTAGTGTGGTGGAACAATCCCAAGAACATGCTAACAGGTGTCCCCTTTCATGGATAGAAACCGACAGTCCAAATCACAATGGATGCGTCCTTATTCAGGTGGGGCGCCAATTTGTAAGTCCATCGGGCTCAGGGTCTCTGGACACCCCAAGAATCCCTGCAGCACATAAACTTCCTCGAGTTACGAGCTGTATTCAATGCCTGCAGGCACTTCCTTCACATGATCCAAGGTCTTACGGTTCACATTCTCATGACAATATATGCACAGTGTACTATATCAACAGGCAAGGCGGTGCACGCTCACGCTCTCTTTGTGCGGAGGCTATATGACTGTGGAACAGGGCAATTCGGCACGGTATAACCCTTACCACATCATACCTTCCCGGCAAAGGCAATGTCATTGCCGATGCCCTCAGCAGGCACTTCCTTCCCCAGTACGAGTGGGAGTTACACAACAAAGTTGTTTGCGATCTTTTCCATCTCTGGGGGTTCCTGAATATAGACCTCTTTGCCTCTCACCACAACAAAAAGTGCCATTGTTACTGTTCACGTGCGGGCATCGGCATGAACTCCTTGGGAGATACTTTCCTACTCGACTGGAATCGTCACCAATTACTCTACGCTTTTTCTTCTCTTCCTCTTATTCCAAGGGCACTGGAGAAGATAGCCATGGAGGGCACGACAGTGATTTTCATAGCACCCTTTTGGCCCCGACAGACTTGGCTGACGCAATTGTCGAGAATGTCGGTCGCTCAGCCATGACGACTACCGCTGCTGTCCAACTTGCTGTCTCAACAGCACGGTACGGTGGTGCATTCGAGCATCGATCGCATGCACCTCACGGCATGGCTCCTCACTGGCTCCAACTGCCAGAAATGACCTGCTCTCAGGCAGTGAGACGTGCTGATAAACAGCAGATGCCGGACCACTTGCAAAACCTACCTCTACAAGTGGTATTGGTTCCAATCGTGTGTGGAGAGGAATCTTGACCCTCTCTCTTTGCCAGTGCAGGAAGTCCTGGACTACATCCTCCACCTAAAAATGTGGGGGGGTTGGCAATTGCTTCTCTGAAAGTTCACTTGGCAGC